GGCTGATCTTCCTCACAAAAATAATAATAATAATAATAATAATAATAATAATAGTAAACCAGTTAAAACTCTTAATGGAAGATACAAACAGCCACCAAATAGTCACCAATAAATTTACTATAGCAAAATAAAATAAATTATATTATAGTTATTAAGTGGCAGCTAAAAAGGATTACCTTGCTGCTGAAAGTAGCATCTCAATAATGTGGAAATTTTACTTATATATAACATTTCCAATGATCATAAATGATAAATGAGACATCTGTGCATATAGCTTGTTTTAAAAAACCTGTACATGGGTCCATTGACGTCCATCAGCATTTCTCTTTTTCCTTCTGGCCTTTCCCAGTTACTAGAAGATCTCTGAGCAAAATAATTGTGTTTCTATAGCTTTATAATATTAAACATTTTGAATAGACTTTACCACTTTCTTTTCTGCTTATGAAAAGGATTATAAAATATGAAGGAGAGTGCTATGCTGATTAATGGTGAAATGAAACAGCACTCAACCCTCAAAACTTTCAAAAGATTTTATCAGAGAGAAAAAAAGAGCAGTGGGAAAGGGGAGTAAAGGGCATAGATAGACACAAGTTAGCTGCAGAACACATCAGAATAGGGTGGAGTGAGAGGGAATAGATGACATTTCCTACCATGGAATCATCTTCTGGAACTGCCTTAAGTAAAAGAAAGAAACACAAAGTATAATTTGAAATGACTCCTATAAATTTGTGGACTTAAATATGTAAAAGTTTGAATCAACACATGTATCCTCTCCAGAAGTTTAAAAATTGTTTTGGCCTTTGTGCTTGTAGTGATAAGTGTTGCACAGGTTAAGCTGGTGGAATGAGCCAGCGGTCACAGGGGTAACAAACAGTCCTAGTTTTGTTTTTGGTTGGCAACATGGAGAGCACTGGCTGTGCCTGAGTCCTTGAGAGTTTATAAACTACGGAAACCTTTAGAATGTTTGCCTTTTCTCTTACCTCCATGCCCACATTTGAGAAAATATGATAGAAGTTAGCCATTGTTACTCCTGAGGTAGCAACAGATTTAGCATATTTTCACTGGATGTAACATTCAAGTCCAAAAATCTCATGCAAAAGTCTGAGTGTGTTATCTAGATGAAAAACTAAAGACTAACTTTTTTTCAATAAAAAATATCAATGACAAGGATAAAAATTACAGTAGACTTCCCATAAAAACCATGGAAAGAAGAAGAGAGTGAAGTGAAATATTTAGAGTTGAAAGAAAAAACCCATCCACCTAGAATTCTATATCCAGAAAAGCTATCTTTCAAAAATGAAGAAGTACTTTCCAAGACAAAGAAAAACTGACGGAATTCATTTTCAATAGACCTGCTTTGATAAAAACGTTAAAAGACTATCTTCAGATATAAGAAAAATGGTATATGTCAGAAACTTGGGTCTATATAGAGACAGGCAGAGCACCACAAAAAGAATCAGTGAAGGTAAAATAAAATCTTACATTTTTCTTATTGTTAATTGATCTAAAAGATGACCATTTCTTAAAATAATAATAGTAACACTGTATTGGGTGGTTAGAGCATATAGATAAGTGAAATGAATAACAGTAATGTCACAAAGGATGGGAGGGAAGAATTGGGAATATTCTGTTATAAACTAACTGAACTACATGTGAATTGGAATAATGTTACTTTAAAGTGGATTTTGATCAGTTAAAAATGTAAACTGTACTGTAAACTCTAGGGTGACATAAAAAAAAACTTTTTTTATAAGTATAATTGATATGCTAAGAAAGGAGATAAAATGGAATCATGTAAAATACTCAATTAAAATCAGAGAAAGATGCAAAAGAAACGTGGCAATACTTTATAAAAGCATGGTCTAAACACACCAATTAAATGACAGATTGTTAAAGTGTGTGTGTGTATGTGTAGAATATAGAGAGAATATATATATTTTCTACAAAACATACACACACACTTGAAATATAAAGACCCTGAAAGGTTAAAAGAAAATGGATGAAGAAGGATATACTATTCTAACACTAACAAAAATAAAACTAGGATAGTTATATTAATTTCAGACAAAGCATTCTTAAGAACAAGAAAAATTATCAGAGATAAAGGGAGTCATTGCATAATCATAAAAGGATCAACTTCCCAAGAAGATATAACAATCATAAACATATATACATCTAACTATAGAACATCAAATTTTGTGAGGCAAAAATTGATAGAATTACAAAGAGATATAGACTAATTTATTACACTTGGAGTCCTTAACATTCTTCCATCAGTAACGGATAGATCGAGCATGCAGAAAATTAGTAAGAATATAGTTGACAAGAACAGCACTGTCAATCAACTTGATATAATCAACATTTATAGATTACTTCATCCAGTGAGAACAGAATAAATATTCTTCTCAAGCTTACATGGAATATCCCCCAAGGTAGATTACATTCTGAGGCAAAAAACAGATCTGAACAAATTTTAAAGGCTAGAAATTAAACAAAGTGTGTTCTTAGATAACAGTGGAGCTAAACCAAAAATCAATGAGAAAGATAGCTGCAAAATCTTCAAACATTTGGAATTTTAACAGCACTAATTTTTATTATTTCTTTTCTTCTGCTTATTTTGGATTTAATTTGCTCTTCTTTATCTATTTTCCTGAGTGGAAGCGTCGATTATTGATTTTCGATCTTTCTTCTATACATATACGCATTCAATGCTATAGATTTCCCTCTAAGCATTGCTGTCACTGCATCTCACAAATTTTGATAAGTTGTATTTTCATTTTCATTTAGTTTAAAATTGTTTTATATTTTTCTTGAGTCTTCTTTGCCTCCTGTGTTGTTTAGAAGTGTGTTGTTAAAATTCCAAATATTTATATTTAAAGTGTGGTTATTGAGGTGCCATAGATGAAGGAGTAATCACATCATTGCCAGATATTTGCCATCACTTTCCTTACATCATATGCTTCAGTTAGAGAAAAATAGAATGAGATTATTCTATTTTTTTTTGTTTGAAAATTATACTGATGACTGTTGAATAAGACAAATAATGATAAAATCATTGTTTTAGGAAAATTAATTTGGTGACAGTTTTCTGAATGATTTCAAAGGATTTCAGGTACTTTTGAAGCTGGAATTCTAATAGGAGTACTACTGTGTGGTGTGAAGTGTGAGCTGATGAGAGATCGAACCAGGGTGTTGGCTTTTGAATCAGAGAATAAAGAAGGTATAAGACAACCTGTAAGAAAGGTAAAGGAAAATCTAAATTCTACTTTTTTCTCCATTCTATCTCCAGTATCTAGAAAAATACCTGGGGCATTGTTAAAACTTATTCAAATTTTTTGAATAAAGTCCAGTTGCAGAGTCTTATTCTCACAAAGGAAAACTAGCCAAAGTGAAATTATTTCATCCTGCTAGTGAAGGCAGTAAATGCAGCCATCTATTACACAGATTAAAGACTAGTTCAGAGATATTTAATTTTTTTTCAAAAATAGACCATACTATTAGAAGTTCATACCACATTAATTTATTATTAATAAAGACAATAAAGCAAATAGATACATGATTGCCTTTACTTCCCTATTGGTAAGAATATTCTAGAAAGCTGGAACTAGTTCACAATATCCCTAAATATTCAAGATTAACTATTACTAAATATTTTCTAAGGGACATACACACAAGTTTCATACTCTGAAATAATGTATAATACATATTACAATAAACCTATCAAAACAACTATCTCAGAATCATAGATATACCACTGCTAGGAGATTTGCAGTTGGCATCAGATCAATCCCCTTCTGGGGTTGGGGAAGAGAGACATTACAGGCTTGAGGAGCTATTCCAGCTGCAGAGGGGGACAGCAGAAATTCATCTGAGACGGCAAAATATTGTACCCCAAATTATCATAGCTATCTCAGTTATGGCTCAGGGGGTCTATAATGTGTCAGAACTCTTCTCTAGAACAAGTAAGGGCCCAGGACATTCTAACAAACCTTGAGTTTGCAAACTTAGGCTTGGCATGTAACTTGGCACATGCCAATATGATCTGCAGGCAAAAGATGTGGCTGCACATGGAGATATAAATAATCACATGTAAGGCAAAGCTGGAGTTGAGAAACAAATGTTCCAAGGAAACATTAATCAAAGAGCCCAGGTTGGTAGGCATGCATGTGGAACAGCAGATAGAAGGGACCTTGGGTCTGGAGGGCATCGAGGGGATTCATCCCAGAGAGTCTCCCTTAGGCACCAGATTGGGAAATTTTAGCAGCAACTATGATCTTATCTGGAGTATTGAAGGTGCTGTTAGGAGATACAAATCTGTTTAGACACAAGATGAAGTAACTGAAGTTCCCAAATGGTGACCAGAGCATGGCAATAGGTGATTCTCTGAAGTTCAGAAGAGGCTGTTGAGATCTGGAAGGACTCTTCACAGGAAACAGGTTCCAGCCCTCAGTCCAGGCTCTCAGAGCAGAGCTCCAGTTCCCAGGGAAGAGCTGGAGAGAGATTAATGTAGGCCTTTCACCTTTGGAGACTCAGAAATTATATACTCAGCAACGAAAAATTTGGATATTCTCAAAATTAGGCATAGAAACAACATTTCTAAAACCTGAACCACATGATCTGGAACATGAACCACGTTATCCAAGTAGAAACACTGCAAGAAGATGAGCTATGACTCAGGGAGCAACATGAAACCCAAGAGACAGTGGTGGAACAGAGTGTCCTGGGTCAAGATTTTAGCCAATGGAAACTGGGCAGAGCTAGGAAACACATTGTCAGTGTGAGAACAGTATTTCTTGGGCCATGTTAATAGGGAGGGGAACTTAATTTTAAGTCATAATATATGGAGATTGAGTAGGATAAATACTTTCTCTCTTGTCTAGGAAACGGCAGGAATAACCTACAAAAGGGTAGCAATTGGCCCCAACTTTAGGGAATTTGGAAGCTCAGAGTCAGGAGCAAAACTGGCACCTAAATTAACGACACCAAAAAATCAAAGTTTGAAAAGCAGATTTTCTCCTTTATGAATCCATTTGATTGCCCAAGTCAAGTCACAACTGCCCTGTTTCAAAAAATTACAGGTGAGTTCTTCTGTCTTCGGATTTGCAGCTTAGGCTCTTTAGATCTCTGTGCGGAACTGAAGTGCAATTCCAGACATTTCCTTCTTATAAATGGCATCAAATTTCTCATTTTGGGCCACTGTGAAGTGATTCTTCCAGTCACCTGCAATCCCTAAAAATAACAAGTAAGAAAACATCTTACGGAATAAAATATTTCCGTTATGAGAGAAAAGCTAATATATACCAAAATAAAAGGTTAGAAGAGTTAAAGAAAAACTTCCCTTGTATTTGAATATTTTAAAATGCAATTTTTCTTTTATTGGCAATTCTTCCCATTTAGAAAGGTGGCTTATAACTGAACAGAGTCTGACTTTTAAAGATACATTCTGAGAAGGGTTAATTTTCTTGTCTAAACATATGAGCTGGTACAGTAGTTTCCTGAAAGAGATTCTTTTAGTGTTTCTAATTGTCTTGGGTCATGAATTTACTACCGGACACTGGATCAATGGTCAGGGCATAGTTTATTTCATGAGTTGCTTTTGGAAACTGTACAAGGGCTGGTTATCAGCACGACAAAACGGTGAAACAGAAAGCTGATTTCCCAGAATTTATAAGTGAGAATAGTAGAATATTTGGAGGTTACTTGTTTTCCCTGAGTCTACTACAGTTACACTGTGTTTGCATTTTAGATAAGAAGACTAGCATAAAAATCAAACATATAACATCCCTGAACCCTCTTTATAAGAGTAAAACTTTGGGGTTATAAATTTACATTTAATCTCTTATATGTGGATGCTTCTAAATATTTATTTGAAAAATAAATTTTTCATGGCCAGCCAATGTGCTAGGAGAAAAACATTTACTTTTGATATTTTATGAAATATTAAATATATCTTACTGAATTGCAAGCTATATTAACCCATGATGTCTTGATGAAGATTTCAAATCGTTTAATGAAAAACACTCCCATAAGCAAGTTTGTTCCCTTGGTTATTATACTTTGTTCTATGTTCACCAGATGGCAAGAACTCTTTGGAATGTATTTGGGGGTAGTGTATATTTGGGATAATATATCTGTAAAGATGTCATTAAAAACTGAGGACACAGATTTTAAAAATAAAGAGTCCTATATAAAGTATTCCAATGATCTTCTCTTTTGAGTATAAATTATATAACATACACAAACACATTTGCTTCACAAAAGTAAGGAAATATAAATTTTTTTTTGAAAAAACAAATGCTGGTCAAAGCCCAGATTTTTCTGTTTTGTATAAACATTGGACATCATCTTTTCTCTCCCTACTACCTTTACTATTGTGTTACTAAACTATGACATCAATTTACCCAACACGGCATCGTTCAAGTCTGAGTGTGCCTGGCCCTTTGTTGATACTTCACTTTGAGCCCTCTTCAGCACCCGTTCACATGCATGCCCCTTGCATTACATTACGAGCTTCTTGAGGCAGATGCATGTGTCATTCATCCTTGCATCTTCTAGAGAATATGTGCTGCCTATAGGTGTTCATGAAGAGCTTTTCCTATACGTGAATTAATGAATGAATGAGTATTCTTTAAATGTTTATTGAGTGCATAAGTGAATAAATGGATAGATAAATCTTGAACCATTTAAACTAATAAGACTTCCTATTTTTGTATGTATTATTTGTGGTCAGGAAAATATTCCAAATGCTTACATATTATTTACCATAATCCTTCCCAAAACCATGTGTCCTAGGTGTTATCACTTTCTTCATATTACCAGTGATGTCACCAGAGCTTTGTTAGATTAATTAATGTATTCGAAGTCATAGATTCAAGAAGCAGCATAGCCTGGATAAACTCCAGATCAATCGGACCACAAAGGGTATGTTCTTTACCACTTCCAGAGGGGATGCAGACACTCTTTCTCTTATTAGACCAGCATGCACTCTTCTCTGTTGAAGTTGGTGAAACCATAGAATCAAGATACTGAGCTTATACCTCTACCTCTATACCCTAATGAAATATCATAAGATGGTGTCAATTTCATATGACTGGGATAAAACTCTCCTGGAAGTACATTCAATGATCTGGCATATTGAGAATTTGCCTTGTTTAATAAAGGAGATTGTTTCCCCTGATTCTTCCACCAGGAGAAAGTGTATGTGTGGGTGTGTATGTGTATATTAGTCTTCTTTGCTCAAATTTATAATGGACCACTTACAATAAAAAATTTGCTTTGCCCTCTTACACTAGAGATTATTTTTGAAAAGTTAAATGTAGTGTTTTTGAAAATAAAAAATAAAATTTGAAAACACTAGGACTATTTGCTATTTTAATAAGTTACAGGGGAAAATGATTTAGAGAAAAATTTAACCATATAACTCCATCAAAATTGAGGATTTTCATCCACATGTTCATAAGCAAAATACATTCCTAGGGTTATGTTTACTTTGTAGCACACCAACTGAAATTCTACCCCTTTCTCTCCAATTCAATAAAGAATATTGAAAACAGAGAGTGGCATTATTAGATGGATAACTTCTTAAATTTGTTTAAGTTAATAATTTGATAAATCTATTATTTTTATCATTAATAAAACATGTTTGACACAAATCACATACAATAAGCCACACTATACAGGATTTTTTTCAGTGGAAGTAAAGCTGTATTTCAATAGTGAATGCCATATTCCTCTATTGTCATCTTTCTAAGTGAAATTTAGATTCCATGTTTCCTATAATTCAGATAATGTTTTTAGGGAGAAAAATCTTCCCATAGGATAAAAAAAAAAAAGTCCTTTCTCTTGGTGAATCCCTCTAAACAAAGTGACCACTGTTTTCTAAATGATATGGGGTCTTTAAAGAAGATAGTACGATACTGAGTGACATTAGTTTATCACTGAGAAGGAGAAAGAGGCATACGCCGATTTACACAAAGATTTAAGAATTAGGAATAACAAATTTGGAATAACATCAGAATTGACAAAACCACTCCCATTTAGCAGAGTAGTAAATAGGAAGAGAAATATGTATCAAATATTCGAAGTATTCTGATAACAAGGTTACACACATTTTTTCCTTTAATAATCCCTAAGCTAATTCAGCAAGTTCTTGTGGTAGGTATTTTTAGTGTCCCTATTTTACAGAGGAAAAAAATTGATGCTAAAACTGGCTAAGTAACTTGGTAGAGACCACAAAGCTAATCCTCATTTCAGGGTAATTATAAGAAAGGGAAAAGAGAAATTAAACTCAGCAAAATATTCACCTTTGCGCATAAAGGAGGATTTGCTGTGATCCATCACTGTAGTTGGTAGATGTGTATAATTCACCAGAGGGTTGTCCTTCATCATTTCAAATGAGGTATGGTGGATGATCTTATCCAAAATGTCATCATTCAGATCCTTCTCTAGAAATCTAACAATCTTCTTGATTTCCTGCTTTGGATGCTATCAGTGGGTAAAGAGATACACCCAAGAAAATGGTAAACCAGTAAATTATTAACATAATGTGAAAAACTATAATATTATTTCTTAAAGTTGACTCTGAATATTGAATCCATATTTGGTTGGGTCTATTAATAATTTTTTTAAAAATTAATCATAAAAATTAAAAAAATCAATTTATATTGAGGAAAAATAGAGTTAAAATGTTTTGTTTATTCTAAATCTTATATTTTTAGTTTACATTCAAAGTACAGTAAGAACAAGCCTTGGGCTAAATAGAAACAACATTTAGAGAAAAATATCATAACAGCTATTTTAAGCTTAATTTGTAATCAGATTTGAGCTGTGAATGTTTTAGGCACCTAGCATCTTTTTATTCTTCCTGCCTTTGTTTTTCCGCTCTTAATCAAAGTTTCTTTCTTTTTTTTAAAAACAATATTTAAAAACAAAAATAATAAATTCATGGGAAACTTCAAGTATATTTACCTTAAAGTAAATACTGATTAGACCTTCTTGGACATAAATAATTAAAAGTAGACTCCAATGAAGTTGTAAAAATATCAAGACCTAAATTATTCACTACCCTTTGAGGATAAAAAGAACAAAATCTGAGAAATGTGTCATCTTTTAGATTTCAATGACATAAATTTAATACTGTAAATTTTTAAGAAGCTAAACTAAAATCTGCATGGATATGTGTACAGAGATTTTGAGGAGGTGATATCTAAACCGATTTGCAAAAGATCAGTCAGAATTTACCAAGATGTGTGGTCTGCTGGGGTTTTGGAGGGTGAATTTCCAGTAGAGAAAATAGTTAAAACTCTTGGAGGTATAAGATCTCACAGTGTGTTCAAGGGAGAAAAAAAGCAAAGTGGTTGGGGTTAGGTTTGAGTTGTTCATAGGAGTGAGAGAGACTATAAAACTGGGAATATGAATTGAGAGAAAATTGAGAACATCCTTGGATGTCCTGTTGAAGAGTTTGTACTGTATCTGTTATGCAGTAGGGAAGAAACAGCATTTAAGTTCGTGTCCCATTAGCTGTGTGTAGGTGTGTGTGCATGTACGCATATGTGTATGTTTTGGCAGGCAAGGAATTCCCTGTAAGGGAAGTTTTGGTGGTATTTTTATGTATCAGACCACTGTGAGGGTAGAATGACATAGCTATTTAGGGATGTCAGTGGTTAGAATGAGTAAAATGTCAGAAATGATGATAGGGGAGAAAAGGCCAAAAGAAAAGTTAGTAGTGGTACTCGGAAAACACATAGATGGACAGGCAAATAGACAGTAACTTCTGTTAGCCATTCAAAGTGTTTGGAGAATAATCTGGCCACTGCCAAAGTACCAATGATGATGTTAGTTTATAGACCCGTGGAAGTTCAAGCAGAGAGTGCTGGCTCCAATTGTATCTTCTTGTACTTTATTTCTCTTTCACCTCATTGATTAAGAATTTATGCAGATACTCATAAACCTGATGTAAATTAAACTTCTCTCTGAATTTTTTTCTTGATATGTAATTATAATTTTGTTTTTTTGTTGTTATTATATTAGTCTTCTTTACAAAACATTGTCTAAAAATGACTGTATGACAGGAGAAAAACATTGTATATTAAGTATGATGTATGTTGCAGATTTGGGTGGGATTCAAAATATGTGGATATGCTTATAAAACTGATTGGGTCAGACCATAAATCAATATGAATGAGTTGATTTGAATAAAATACTTTAGCTGAATAAGGAGAGAAATTGTTGACCCAAGAGTGTGAGGTGGGAGACAGCATCATTTGTGACTCAGAATTTGGATACTAGCCCAGGAAATGTACTTCTTCATCTTATGGAGATAAGGGACTATATTCAGAAGCTAAAATTGCTCTTTTCATAAAACTAATGAGTGCTCCTCTGGTGTCCAGGACGCAAAGAGAGATAGTTGGTACAGAACGACAATTTTTTCTCTTATGAAGAATTCATAACTTAACTCTGGCTAATTAAACACTCAAGGGATATCATCACTTTTTAAAAGTGATTTTATAAAACCACTTTAGTTTTGCAGCCATGTATCACCAGTAACTTGACATTGATTGCCTCAAGCCCTGAATAAAGGAGCAATGTTAAGGTTTAGACAGCAGATTCCTTTAGGCTGCAAACAAGTGTGGTGGAGGGTGGAGGCCTGGGCAGAGCAGAAAAACTCTCTTTTTGATAAGATGTGAGAAATACCCTGGGGGGTTCTCAGAAATACTTGGAGCAAAGGAGAATTTACATGGGGCATGATTTCTGTTATGCAAAGTAGGATTGATGTCACTAAAGTGTTTATTATTACTGCTCACTCATTCATTCAAGCAATTAATTATTTGGAAAAGTGACCACTGAGCCCCTATTTATGTGGTAGGTACTATATTAGGTACTGCAAATACAGTTACAAAAATGATAGATATTGTACCTTCTGTCGTGAATCTGAAAGTCTAAAATGTATCTTCCTGTGTATGCTTAGGTTTTTTTTTTTTTTTTTAAAGATTTTATTTATTTATTTTCCCCCCAAAGCCCCAGTAGATAGTTGTATGTCATAGCTGCACATCCTTCTAGCTGCTGTATGTGGGACCCGGCCCCAGCATGGCCGGAGAAGTGGCGCGTCAGCGCACACCCGGGATCCGAACCCGGGCTGCCAGCAGCGGAGCGCATGCACTTAACCGCCAAGCCACGGGGCCGGCCCTGCTTAGGTTTTTACAACTAGAGGAACACAGCTTCCACAGAGCTCCCAGGTGTGTGTGGTTGGCTAATTTAAGTAAAATAGCCCCGAATAGCATTGCAGTAGTATTTGAATGAATACTAGTTCATACAAGAGATTAGATGAATACTTTTGTGAGTCCCTGAACTAAGAGGGAGGTAGTAAGAAAGTAAAGGTGGGGGACACATTTGAAAGAAGTAACAGGTAGGTCATGTGAACCGATGGGATGTTCAGGATATATTGGAACCATATCCGCTATATGGAAGCCAAAGAGAACAATTTACTCTCAATCTTTGAAAACTGAATGGACAAATAACATCATTAACCAAAAGAGAGAATAAAAGAAGAAAAAGGTTACTTGCTGGAGAAAGAGAACAAAGCTGAGTTTAGTTTGAACATACAAAATTTCAGGGTCATTTTAATAAAAGCATGGGTTTGAATTCAGGGTAGAAGTTAAAATGGAGTTTTTGGGGAGTCATTAGCACATAAACAGATTTGCTGACAGTGGGCATGGACGCAATCACCAAAATACAGCAAACAGCTCAAAAAGAAAAAAGACTGGGCCGGCCCTGTGGCTTGGTGGTTAAGTGCGCGCGCTGCGATGCTGGCGGCCCGGGTTTGGATCCCGGGTGCGCATCGAGGCACCGCTTCTCTGTCCATCCTGGGGCCGAGTCCCACATACAGCGACTAGAGGGGTGTGCAGCTGTGACATACAACTATCTAGTGGGGCTTTGGGGGCAATAAATAAAAAATCTTTAAAAAAAAAAAAAAAAAGAAAGAAAAAAGACTAAGTGATAGATAGAGAAGTTAGAGATCCAGAGGAAAACCATGAGAGTGTGATAACCTGATAAATGTAGGAGAGAATTTCAAAAAGAAAAAGTACTCAAAATACACACAATGGTTAAAAAAGATTAGAGGAATAAAAATGCCATTGATTTCACAATTAGAAAGTCGTCAGATCTTGGCAAGATTTGGGTAAGCAGTCATGGAGAACAGGCAAAGCAATCATATCATTTTGGACTCCATAGATTAAGTTGAAAAATATATATTAATCCTTTTACCCCGGGATGTAGTGAAGGAATTATCCAGAATGAATTTCTACCATTTTACCTCTTTCATATCTTCATAGTGCAAGAAAAGTATTGGATGTTCTTCCTTTTTCTTCCACCAGCTCTTAACATGATTAAACCAGGAACCATAGGCCACTAAAACCAGAGAAACAGTCTATTTCCATAGCATTCATCAAATTAGAGGTTTGTTTCTGAACAATAAGTCAAATTGTAAAAACAGTTACAGAAATTTAGTAATCAAGGGAACTGAGAATATAAGGCCAATTAAAAAAAAATAAAATCAGCCATTTATGGATGTACAAAGAATCAGATTAAAAAAATGTAAAGTACAAAGGAAGCATTCCAAATGAAAATACATTGACCTCCAATAGGTTCTACTTAGCCTCACATGTGAGGAAATACTCATGAAGTACTTATGAAGTACTCATATCAACTGTTTATCTGAGTACTATAAATATACATCTAACAGATATAACTAATAATTTGGGCAAGTTAAACAATTTCTATTGTGAGCAGGAACTAAGAATGGATTTCTAGCAGTTGAAAAGAGATTTGAGAATATTTTTATTAAGCCAATGTTAATACCAGGTTCATAGTAAAATATTACATGCATTTGATTTAATTTTTTAAATGGTATTTGAATACACTTGTTACTGACTTGGAAAAATAAGTGTTTTGAAAGGAAAAGTCATACCAGTAATGGTTAATAGTGTTATTAGAAATAAAAAATTATTGGGCCAGCCCCGTGGCTTAGCGGTTAAGTGCGCGTGCTCCACTGCTGGCGGCCCGGGTTCAGATCCCGGGCGTGCACCAAAGCACCACTTCTCTGGCCATGCTGAGGCCACGTCCCACATACAGCAATTAGAAGGATGTGCAGCTATGATATACAACTATCTACTGGGGCTTTGGGGGGGGGGAATAAAAAAACAAAGAAATAAAAAATTATTTATTAATTTTAAGCCAAGGCCCACCTACCATTTCCAGTCAAGAATCTCTCGAGATAGTCTTCCCAGGTGCCAGGAAAAGGTTCCATATTATTCATTAAGTCAAAGTGGTAATATGAGACTGCAACATCCTTGGCATTTCGAGCCAGATAAATCATCTGCAGGGGGAGGAAGAAGAAAATTAAATGGATGGTATTTGATTTAAGAAAAAAATTAACATATAGGCAAGTAAAACAACAGATTTGAAATCTGTGAAATTAAAAACAAGAAAACAGAGAAAATTAATGAAACAAAAAACTGACTCTTTATAAAAAAATCAATAAAACATCTAGCATGACTGACAAAAGAGAGAAGATACAAAAAAATAATATCAAGGAAAAAAACAGGTGGCATCACAAGAAATATTACATCTATTAAAATAATAATGAGTATGAAAAGATGCTCTACATCATATGTTATCTGGGAAATGCAAATTAAAAAAACAAGACAACACTCCACACTTAGAATGACCAAAATCCAGAACACTGACAACATCAAATCCCAATGAGGATGTGGAGCAACAGAAACTCTCATTCGTTGTTGGTGGGAATGCAAAATGGTACAGCTACTTTGGAAGACACTTTGATAGTTTCTTACAAAACTTAACGTACTCTTACCATACGATCAACAATTGCACTACTTAGTATTTACCCAAAGAAGTTGAAAAATAAAGATCACCCAAAAACCCGTAAATGGATGTTTATAGCAGCTTTATTCATAATTGCCAAAACTTGGAAGTAACCAAGGTGTCCTTCAGTAGATGAATAGATGAATAAACTGTGGTACCTCCAGACAATGGAATATTATTCAGCACTAAAAAGAAATGAGCTATCAAGCTATAAAAAGATATGGGAGAATCTTAAACACATATTACTAAGTGAAAGAATACAATCTGAAAAGGCTACATACTGTATGATTCTAATTATATGACATTCTGGAAAAGGCAAAACTATGCAGGCAGTAAAAAGATCAGTGGTTACCAGGGTTGGGGGTTGGGAGGGATGAACAAGTGAAGTACAGAGGATTTTTAGGGCAGTGAAACTACACTGTATGATACTATAATCGTATATATATGTCATCATACAGTTATCCAAACTCATAGAATGTAGAACACCAAAAGTGAACTCATATAAATTATGGACTTTGAATGATAATGATGTGGCAATGTAGGTTCATAAGTTGTAACAAATTTACCACTCTAGGGGGAAATATTGATAATGGGGAGTCTATGCATGTGTAGTGGCAAGGGATATGTGGGAAATCTCTTTACCTTTCTCTCAATTTTGCTGTGAACCTAAAATTGCTCTAAAAATAAATAAAATTTCTGTAAAAAATAAAGTCTGTTAAAAGAAAGAATAAGAAGGGAATAGTATGAATAATTTTTCATTACAAAATTGAATAACTTAGAATGCCTCAACACACCACAAACTAGCAAAAATCAGCTAAGATGAAATAATTTGAAGAGCCGCATAATTATTGAAGAAATTGAATTTCACATTTAAAAGTTTCCAAAAGCCAATATTCAGGCACAAATGTTTCACTGGAGAATTTTACCAAACGATCAAATAAAAACTGACATCGTTATGTTGAGTTTTCAAAGGAGGCCAGACTATTAGGGACAGTAGTGGAATAATAGTAGCAACATTGTACTGAGATAAGGATCCTATTGCTACACAACTTTGGAAAATTTGAGTATGTAGGTTTAGACTCATTGATAATAAGTAAGTTATAGTACTTACTTATAAGTAAGTAAATGAAACATTTAAGCAATTACTCACTATGTGTGTGAGTAAAGGGATAGGGCGACATTAGAAAACTGACTTGCGGTCTAGAGTGTACCTTGCAGTTGTTCTCCCAGAAAGACTTAGGAAGGAGATCAATTGGTAGATGCGTCTTCACAAGGCGGGGTGATGGATTCTTCTCTAATTGTTCTATACCTGGGAAAATTTAGTTTGGTATATAGAGATATTAGAGTCTCCAAGGAGCCTGTGTTTCCTTATTTTCTCAACCAACCTTTCAAAATATTTTTGAGCAGTACCTAATGCTGCTAAATTTTGAATCAATCACAGACATTATTCATCTCGATTCTAAGAGGCAATATTGTGTAATGGTCAAGGGCATAAATTCTGAGGTTAGCCTCCTCAGGTTCAAATTCTAACTCTATCACTTACTCATCGTGAGATATTTGAAAGTATTCCAATCTCTATGCTTCACTTTCTCCACCTCCAAAACAAGGAGGAATAATATCAACCTTAGCAATTTGGGGTTTTATCATATCTGTGCATTGTTATAAATAATTATAAAAATATTTTCTGCATGTCAAAGAGATATCGATAACTAGTAAATCTTGCATGGGCTACTATTTTGCATCAGCTATTGTAGTATTAGATGCCGTTATTTCTGTATAGCATCAACTGTTGTATCTGCATTTTCATTATTTCCTTTATATGTAATATATATTCAATATATACATATACATGCAAAACGAAAATGCTGTGTAATTTTTGTTAGCTAAACTCTCCAAAGTCGTATGACAAATAGGTGGTAGAACTTGGTTTCAAATTAAGTCTTTGGATAAGGGATATATGAACTTCCCTGAGGAAGAAAGTATCTATTTATTTTCTACATTGAGAACTAGGAAGATCCTAGTGGCCTGAAACTCACCATGTAAGTGACTTGGCCAATCCGAAGGTATTTTTGCGGTAAAGGCATACTCAGAGAACTTCTGACAGACTAGGGCGAGCTGGGCTAACACTTTTATCTTACTATTCTTTTAATAGACTCAACACCCTTTATCTTATCCCAGATATATCTGTTAATGATGCCACCTCCTTTAGAGTTGCCAAGACCTAAAATCTCAATTATTGTTGTTTCCTCCTTCAAGTTTCACGTCCAATAAATCTTAAAGTCCTATGCATTTTTTCGCAATAAATTTATATCCAGTCTAACCTCTAGATTACCTATTAATCCTACATTATCTTCCCACTTTTGCATACAAAGGCACACCTACACAAAATTGTATCTGACTCACTCATTCGAAGAAATCTTATGCTTCGTTTACAATAATTTATGACATATGCTAAGAAGCCACTCAGTCTCTCTCTATTAAAACATCATTTTTAAGTGTTCTATGTAACACTTATTTTCGTTTAATAGTTTAATTATTTGTTTGTTTATTGTTATTTCCTATGCCCCTTCCCCATCCCCACCCCTAAACATACACATTAGAATGGAGATTCCATAAGAGCAGGGATATAGTTTGTTCTGTTCACCAATGATTGTTTTGCAGAGAACAGTGCATAACACATGTTGTATTCAGAAGAACCCCTTAATATCAATGCAGATAGGGTTGGTAAACTTAGGGAATAAAGATACAAGCATTCCAGTTAAATTTGAGTTCCAGATAAACAACAGAATCATTTTAGTATAAGTATTTCTCATGCAATATTTGGGAAGTACTTATACTAAATAAAACAGCCACCTATCCGAATTTCAAATTTAATTGGGTATCCTGAATTTTATCTGGAAACGCTAACTATATACACTTAAAATTCCACCAGGTATTTCATTATGCTTCTACTGACCTGGTACCGACAGCCTCTTTACCCAGCATATAGAAATGAGAAATGTAATCTTCCACAACTCACTCTTCCTCTATGCCCATGACATGAACTTTTATATCTGTTGTTTTATAAAGTTTTTCCCAGATCTGTTGTTCCTCTTTTCTCCCTCAACTTCATTGAAAGATTTCACAATGTCTTCTGTCTTGTAATTATTTTGCTATGTGAGGTCCTTTAAATGAACCCTTCTTATACACAAGTATGAACGTTAGGAACGTGTAATAACATCACAAGTATCCACATTCAGGCTCCAGAGTAAACCTGAGTGGTAGTTTACCCTCCTTCACCTGCTGAACCTGACCTATGCACTGTGGTGATGCAACACAGCCTCAATCTCCAACCTCAACCCTTGTCTCCCACCAGCAATCCCTCACTCCTTGTCCCTGATTACTTTGATTCTATCACTTTTTCGTTTCACACTTTTCTATGGCTCTGGAGTCTTAACTCACTCTTGCACTTATTTTGGTTGCTTGTCTCAGAATAATTCTTTAGTTCCAAGCTTTAGTATTTGCTCTCTGACTTCAGGCAACCACACAGAAGGAATGACGCCTTCCTAGTTGATCTTTCTCTGCCGATGGAAGTAACTAGCCCCAGTATGAGAGAGAATTTGGATTCTGCTCTTTAAATTGATATACACACTCACCACCATACTTCTGTCTTCCTATCCCAGATTTCCAGCAGCATTTGAGAGCCAGGCCTCGCTTCTTGAACCCTTCTCACTTACCTACAGGACATCATACTCTTCTGATTCTCTCTTAGCTCACTGAATATTTCTTAAGAATTAATTACAAGCCCTACATAATCTATCCCTGTCTAATCTCCAATTGTTCTGCATTTCACTTTTCCTTTTTTTCATTGCTGTTGGTGGTGGTGGTGGTTGTTGTTATTGTTTTTCAGTCCCTGGACTATATCAAGATCTTTTCTGCATCTAGATCTTCATGCATAATACTTCACCTTCTTGAAATATGATTTCACCAACTATGTGCATGGCTTTAGGTGTCAATTCAGAGTAGATATCCCTAAATATCCAATCTAATTTATTGATTATTTTATGTAGCCTGCAGCATGGTGCATAATTCTTTAGAAGCACTCAATAAATATTGTTGGAGTAAAAAATGAATTATATTAATAATAAATTTTACGTTTTAAGAGGCATTGGTACTTCTTTACTAATTTAACTACAGCAATGTCCTAAATTAGGAGCTTATTGATCTAATCTGCCAAATTCTACACAATAAAAGTCAATAAAAGATAAGGAACATTTTTTATGTTATCAACAAAATTTTTAGTTATTTTCTAGAACAAAACTCTTTCATCTTTGGTTATCATACTTGGATATGCAATGGACCAAACTACAGTTTCTCTATAGGCCTTGGTTATTGTACTGCTTGCAAATTTTCATTTTATGTTACAAAGTCTACTCCATTTTCTTTGAATGGAAGTCACAAATATAATAATTAATATGTTATGTATATAATATTACAAAATTATAATTTCCAGGTGATTTAAAATTACCTGAAATTCTTAGTTCAGAGAGAGCCATTTCCAACATTGGAACTTTAACAGTTATAAAATCTCGCTTACATTTTTCAACATCTCCACCATTTAGAACCATGTCCGCAATTTCACTAACCCAAGTGGTACCTGTGGCAAAAAGCAACATTTTTTATAACAATCATCTAAATCTGGGGGAAAAAAATATCTGTTGGAAGCCTGTCATCTTAATACATTCTATTAGAAAGTTAATTCTACAGAGTTTCCCTTTCTGTGCCCCAAATACCCATTTTAATATAATCAAAGTAGATGGCTAGATTGACTGATAGGAATATTAATTTTATTTAGGATGATAACAATTTTATAGAGAAGTTGATTTTTAGGCAATAAAGGTTGAAGTCAGACTCACCTTTGTCAGGCCACAAAACTCACCTGATTTGGGATAAGTGACTATCACGATGTCATCTGGCCTGCTGCGGAACTGTTTAGTTTTTTCCCAGTTTTTTGCAAAAGCATAGACCATGGGATAGCCATGGACCATCTTCAGGTCTTTTCTCAGTACGTCTTTTAGGGGAATCATTTCTGTACCAGGTTGTACAAATACTTATTAGAATATCTGCTGACAATCAAATCGTGGAGAAATAAAGAGGATAAAAATCAGAACCAGAGTAACTAACGTTACTCTTAAAACACTGCAACTTGACACAAAGTAAAACTGACCTTTAACACACTGATCTAACTACAAAGGGCATTTTTGTGGCTATAAAGCTGTAGACGGCAAGCGCAGCAACTGGTTCAGTGACAAGCGGAACAAAGGTCTTTAGTGGAAGCTTCGGAAAGAAATAGAACTGCACATCTTACTTTGAATTAAAAACCACTTTTCACAGAAATAGGCTAAAAACTATCTGGACCTAAGGTAAAATAAATCTATCACTCATCATTACACTTCAGTTGTATCTCATTTTTCCTTACAAGAAATCTGTTGTCTTTCTTACCTGTGTTCTTTTGTACATAATGCCTGTTTTCTCTTCCTGCTTATAAGATTTTTTTTCTTTATCACTAGTATGGAGTAATTGAATTATGATGTTCCTTGATGTGGTTATTTTCATGGGTTTTGTGTGTGTGTGTGTGTGTGCATGTGTGCTTCAGGTTTATTGAGCTTCCTGGAATTGTGAGTTTACAGTCATTATTTCTTTAAATAATATTTTCTGTTTCTTCCTCTTCCTTCTGAGACTCCAGGACACATGAAGTTGTCCACGGCTCACCGATGCTCTAATAATTTTTTAAAATCTTTTTCAATCTTTGTATGTTTCATTTTGGATAACATTTATTGCTATGCCTTCATGTTCACTAATCTTTTCTTCTGCAATATGTAATCTGATGTTAATCCTATCCAATGCATTTGTATCTCAGACATTGCAGTTTTCATCTCTAGAAGACCATTTTGGGGTGAATGAATGATGAGACCTGTACTTGTCATCCAGAAACTCCGAAGATCTTGGGGATAGCATTATTTCCCAGTTGGTGTATAAAGGAATGAGTGACAGCAGAAGTCAACATAGTATATTCAGATATTAGACTTGAGTTTCACATAATAAATGGAATAGTTCTCCCTGAAACAATTTATTCTATTAATTTCTTAGCAAATTATTTCTTCCCAGATTATGTAAAGGTAAATATCAATCCCAAACTCATTTGAACACTTATATATTCTGAATTAATTGAGGAAAATAAACGAGGCTCTCTTTTTCTTTTTTGGCTCCAGAATGTAAAATTTTGTAGCAATATAACTCCACTTACCGTCTGTTGTTATGCATATAGATTATTATGGGAAAGTAAATAAATATTGAGGACACAGATTCCATTTTCATACTGTCTACTACAAATCATATAGACAAATCTGTTCCCCACATAATAAGTGATTAACATTATGTTACACACTTATAACACCATTCCTGGTTCCATTTCATGTCTTAGCTCATCTTTTTTCATTTTTTTATTTATTTGTTTTAATTTAATTTGTACTATTGTTTTATATTTATGTAATTGATTCATAATAGCTATCAAATACAGTCCATGTACCAGCATCATGTACTGTTGGCATCACCTGAGAGAGTGTTAGAAATACAGAATCTCAGGCCCCAATCCAGAATCAGAGACTATAGTTTAATAAAATCCTCAAGTAACATGCATGCACAAGAAAATTTGGAAAGCATGACCTTAAACCACATTTAATCTATTCTATACAATATAGGGTGTATAAAAATGATTTATCAAAATGAATTGTGTCTTCTACAAAATAAATTGTATTGATTGTGCTTAATATATATTGTCTCTAATCAATACCCACCCTGAAGATAAATCTTACTTTCATTTTGTAGTTGAGATTAGGAAGCTGAGCTTCAGGAAGTCTGCTCAAAGGCACACAAGAAGTGAGTGGCAACTCAGAAATAGTCTTCAATTTTCTCAGCTCTGGTCACTTGGCCTTACTGCAAATCTACCGTGAGTGGGCCCAATCCAGAGTTAAAAAATTTCTCTGGTTTATCTCATTCAAATAAGGGTGTTCACAGTTTATAAGGAAATTTTCCTTTGACAACGCAAACTTCCCTCTGACAAAAAACTCAAGCTCCTCCAGCTGCAAAAGTGTTGTCAGAGAAGGATGGATATGAGTAACAAGGTGAAAATAAGGCATTTGATTCTCAATATATACGAGTCACATCTGGAAAGTGGGTGTAACCAACTCAGGAACCTAGGAGTGTTAGTTCTGAATTAGCTAGCATTGCCTCATCATGACCAGTGGGTGATGATGAGTTCAGAATTATATGGGTAGATGGGTGCAGGGGTGTGGCCTGGAAGACATAAGATAACTAATGTTGTTGAGTCAGACTCTGGAAGTTGGTTTATAAATGATATTTACTTTAAAATATACAAATTACTTCATAAAAAACTTCTAAATCCTACCAAAAAGTAACAAACAATTTTATGTGGTTATATTCTATAGTCTACATGACACCACTAGTCTCCCTATTTAAGCGGAGCCACAGGCTGAAAATTAAACTGTCTAAAATTGGCTTTCAAAGAGATTAATGGAAAAAAAAAGAAAAAATGAAAAACAATGCCCCTCTTAGGAGAAACTAAGTCATTTGACATTAAAACTGAATGGTTGTTTTAGTGAGAAAAGAATATTTTTTTCTATTTGTCCCACCTTCACAAAGTCCAACTCTATTTAGTCCACATCAAACACCAGCTACTGAAATAAATGTGATAAATCACATATTCTATATTTTGGAAAGTGCCTTAAAGTGATTTGTGTGCGTGTGTGTGTGTGTGTGTGTGTGTGTGTAGGGGTGGAGAGAAGGTGGGAGCACAAAAGTAAGGACTTGAAGTGGATTCCTTTTTCCCTTATGATGTCTACAGTCTCACGAGAAGAGTCCAAATCCTGGCATGCTTCAGAAGAGTCCCACTGAACCCAGAAAAGTCACTGCAAGCCTGAGACATTCTGCACAGCATAAACAACAGCAATGAGTTTCCTGTGGGAAAACTGGAATTAGGCAAAAACATTCAAATTACAAACATGTGTTCAGAACAGAAATCATTCAAGGAGCACAGTACCCTGTGGATGCAAGATAAAAACTTCAAGTAAAGAGATTTAAAAAACTAAATTTTACCTCATAACTTAATCCCTTTTTCCAGTTTTCATTTTCAGTCAGTGGTGCTGCTGGGAGCCGGCGGTAGTCCTGAATGGGTATGGCAAGGAGAAACAGGGGAGGCTCACTCCTGTCTCTGGGAAGAAAAATAAGTCCAAGGATATGATCTGAATGTAGTAATCATTGACTTTACAGGCAGTAAAAATATAAAAAGTTTGAACTACATACACACAAAGTCAGGCCCTGCTGTTTCACTAGCTGGAAGGAGCCAGGAAGCACTGAGAAGGAAATGGATCAGGGTGGCGCCCAGAAGTAAGCAAAGTCAGAGATTGCCTAGATTTGAAGGTTCCCATAAGGCCTCAAAGGGCCCGAGAGAAATGCATAGCGAAAGAACCTGAAAGGTGGGTGCGTGGAACACCGTTCCTTCTCTACAACTTATAAGAATGTCTTCTAATAATTTTGCTCATGATGAAAAGTCATTTGTGTGTGTGTGTGTGTGTGTACATGTATGTTTTCATCTGGAAGAAACTTGAGTTTCCAACATCACGGAAAGAGCAAACATATACCGAAGATGAAATAATTTTGACAGCAGAAACAGAGAGGGCAAACTAATGTTTTCAGAATGCACTTGCTTTCTGTCACTCTAACCATTTCTACAACCACTCAGGTTTTTTTTTTTTGTTTTTTTTTTGTATTCTGAGTCACATATACACAGAAAAGGAGTAAACAAGAAGCTTGCGTGTGAAGGGGAAGAAATTTTGGCCCAGAAATATGCTTCTGTTCTCCACTACCTCAACCAACCTATAAGATTCTCTTATGCTCTAGTTGCTAAAATCAATCCTTTTGTTAAGGGCACTTGTCTCAAATTTAGATACAGTTATAACTGCCAAGCCCTTGCCCTGGTGATTCTACCTATATAGGCCTGAGGAAGTCAAATAGTCCAGAAAGAAACTATCACACTCTTTTAGACTCTCCATTTTACCTACAGATTTTTAAGGAGATTTTAAAAAGAACATATTTGTGTTTTTAAAAGATGTTGCCAACAGATTCCTAATTTTCTTTGCCAGCCAGTGGTTATGTGTGTGTGTTTGTGTGTGTGTGGTGGGTACAAGTGTTGAGAGAGAGAACACAGGGAAAAGGCATTTACGTGCACCTAGTATAGTTGTATTTTGTTGCTGTCATGGGAATCCATAATCCTTCTCAGTGCATCAGGTACACAAATCTGGAGAGCATTGAGATCCATCATATTCTGGCTTTCTTTGATTGAGAATCTGGAACATCTGGTTTTTCTAAAGTGTTTTCTAAGCCAGTTTGTTCATTTTTTTGTATGGTTTTGTGGCTCTATAAACTAAGGTTTATTTTGTTTGTTTGTTTTCGATAACACATAAAGTCATTAGCTCCCACAAATCACTTCCTCTTCCTGCCAAACTTCATGCTATCAAATGACATGTTCCAAAGACACAGGGTCAGTAGAGTTCCACCACCTGCAGCAGTGGAGCACCAAACACAAAAGCTCGGGAACTTATATTTTCAGTTGGGTTTACAGATTTCTGATTGGAAATTAGCTTTTGCAGTGCTAGTTAAAAACCAGTTAATAGGGAAGACAATAATGAACATCCAGGCAGCCTGTAATCAGGCAATGTTTGAGGACTCGTGGAATTATACCTCAGTCTCTCCTGAATAAACGTATCAGTGAGCTAGATGATTGTGCCATCCCAGCCACATTAGTGAAGCTATGCAAAACAGCAGTAGGCCCACAGAATTGCTAAATCAAGAGTATGCACTTTGTGAAGTTTGTACTAATTCAAATTTTCATTAGCAGAAATATCAATGCAAATTTATCCATCCTAGTGAATAACATTTGATACGGTAAACCTTTGTGGTGTTCTATAATGTTATAGGCAAAAACTGTCATCTCATTATTTTAATTGACATTTCCTTAATTACATCAGAGCTTGACTTTTT